AATTCGAATCGATTTTTTCTGAATCTGAATGGCTTTTTATAATTTCGAATCGATTTTTTGTGAATCTGAATAGATTTTGTATGAATCTTAATGGATTTTTATGAATTCGAATCGATTTTTTATGAATCTGAATGGACTTTTATGAATCTGAATCGATCTTTTATGAATTAGAATGGATCTTTATGAATTAGAATGTATTTTTATGAATTTGAATGCATTTTTATGAATCTGAATGGACTTTGATGAATTTGAATAGATTTTTATGAATTCGAATCGATTTTTTATGGATCTGAATGGATTTTTATGAATCTGAATGGATTTTTTATGAGTTTTAATGGATTTTTATGAATCTGAATAGATTTTTATTAATATGAATAGATTTTTTATGAATCTGAATGGATTTCTCTGATTTTGAATGAATTATTATGAATCTGAATCGAATTTTTATGAACCTGAATGGATTTTTACAAATCTGAATGTATTTTTATGAAATCGAAGCGATTTTGTATGAATCTGAATAGATTTTTATGCATCTGAATAGATTTTTATGAATCTGAATGGATTTTTCATGAATTCGAATGGATTTTTATGAATTTGAATCATTTTTTTATGAATTTGAATGGATTTTTATGAATCTCTGAGTTATTGTGCCCTCGATGACCGAATCGCTTGACGTCAACGCTTTTTTTGTTATAATTTATTTTAAGACTTTAAAAGTCTTGAAATAAAATTTAAATATATTTTTATATCAGTCGAAAAGAGTCTTTTATAAATTAAATTTTATAAATAAAATACTAGGTCCATTGACACACAATTTTTAATTCTTCTCAGAAGCAATTCGTGACCCATTGTTGTTAAATTCATTACGTGTTGTGTTTTTATAGTTATTGCTTGTCATTCGCAAAAACATCTTAGAAATATATATATATATATATATATATATATATATGTATATATATACAGAAAATTATACCGTTACGAAACGTATTTTAACACAAAGGAAAAAAATGCGATTAGTACGTGACTTGAGTAAAAAAAAACATAGGTACGATTTCTTCAAACATTCCTCATCAGTTTGATAAAAAATGAAATCTGAAATTGCACCAGAATTTACATTTCTTTAACTAAAAAGACTATCATTCACAAAACTTGTAAACTATTCACTAAATATCAATTTAGTTAAATTCTACAGTTGAAAAACAGTGCCTCATTATTTAGATGAAAAACCAAAGAGTGTAATAAATTTATAATAAATGTTGTAATGTAATATATATATATATATATATATATATATATATTATATTTAGAAATCTCTCCACCGTTGCGGTTTGCAAGTACAAAAATTTCACTTTTATTTCTTCGGTTTAGAAATACGTGCAATTTCCTACTATTAATAATTTCTAAACAAATTTCATATATCTGTTATATAATACATATAATATATATGTAATATACTAGTATTACGTAATAAAAATGATATGTAATTTTGTATTTATTCATTTCAATATAATTATAAACAATTATTTGTTTATCAAACTAATATGAGTCAAATGTATATGCAAACTTTGCTCGGTGGAGAGAATAGAAATAACGTAAATTCAGTTATATGACAAAACTTATTGAGAAATATATTTCATTAAAATCGAAATTAACTAGTGGTGTATGGCATCGTGCCTTGAGGCAAATTGCTGGAACTTCCCGTACCGTAATGAAATATTCGAGAAATTTTAAACGTTTTCAAATAGATTATTATAAATAAATACTGTAACATTATCTAATATTTATAAAAATTATATAAATTGAATTGCAAAGTTGAAAATATTTGTTTAAAGTATATTAGAACTTTAGTCAGAACATGCCTTAAGGCACGATGCCATACACCACTAGTTTTTGTTTGGTTTAACCTATGTATGAAGTAGCACAATCTTAGCAATTTATTTTGTTTACAGTGTTGTATTTTAAGTATATATTATGTAGTTTGTTGAAAGCAAGTAATATATATATATATATATATATATACATATATATATATATATATATATCCTTGTACCTAACATACATATATCAAAACAACAACTCAAGACGTAATTCAATTAAATAATTTTCATTTTTTCTTTCTTGTTCGAGAATCCAATTAGTTGTTTCATAAGACACGATATATATATATATAAATATATATATATATATATATATATATATATATATATATATATATATATATTTGTATAAATGAAAATATATGTGGGAACACAAATGATCAAACATGAGATTAATGAGTCACCTCACGAACTGAGGTTATTAAAGGCAATTGTATGTTGTTAGTGTGTATATATATATATATATATATATATATATATATATATAAATTTCAGCCAAAGTCTCCCATTTTTTGCCAAAATTTTTCATCAACGTTATAGTATTCCCTTTATTAATGTTACTATTATCCCTCGACTACAAAGTTGGTGCTTTTCTCACACTATTATTAATACTTCAAAATATTATTAAAATTTTAATAATTTTAATATTTGTCGTTAAAGTAGACACCTTGTGGTATTTTGTGTATAAATTAAAAGACTGTAGTACAAACGGTTTGCCCAGAGTAATTTTTCAAAACAAACAATATAAGTAATAAAAAAGTAAAACATTTCTCATATTGATATTTAAAAGTAAAAATATCATTAGGTTAATAATTAATTTCACGTAGAGCAAGTTATAGTAATCACAAAAAAATCGAAAATGAAAATTTTTATATATCTTTACGTTTCAAACGTTTCTGAATATTTTGGCATACCTTAGAAAAAATGGAAGTATGTGTATGTGTGTGTGTGTATGTGTGTGTGTGTGTGTGCGGATACAAATTTTCGTTGACAATTTCGGGAACACCGGTCAGCCGATTTGAATAATTCAAAAAACATTCGATTCGTATTGATAAGGAGACGTGCTGATTAGTTTTTGTCAAAGGCAGGTCTAGCCGTTCCGAAGATATGGGGCAAAAAAGGGCCAAAAACGGTAACTCAGTTTTTAAGAGAACGGAGCGTCCAACTTTAATATTTCAAAAAACATTTTACTTGTATTGACAAGATGAAGAATTGATCAAATTTTCATGAAGGCAGGTCTAGCGGTTTCGGAGATCTAGTGAAAATAGTAAAGAAAATGCCATTAGGCAGTTAAAAATGATCATTATACATATGCACATCAAATTATCAGATATTTTATAGAGATTTTAACAACAAGTATAAATTTTGTTTACATTCCTATCGGTTCCGTACCAATGTTCATCCGTTAGACGGCGACGTGGCGCTTACGCGCTTCGATATTTCGTCTCTATGCAGTTAAAGCAGTACGATTGCTTTGAAAACAAGTTCAGAATTTCCGAAATTTAAAAAAATTTTTTTTTAAACAAAAGTAATTTTTGGTCAAATTTATAGTTTCTCAAAAATCTAATTTTATCGAAGTAAAATTTTTTCAAAAATGTTAATCGTTATTTAAATACGCCCACTAGTTATTTAAATTTTCCTTGTCGGTTTATATTAGAAAGTTGATATCGTGTGTGTTGCTTTTTTAATTTGCATATTGGAATAGATAATTTATTGTTTATTTATATCATAAACTAATAGTCATAGTCTAGAGTGCATTTTATATGAGATTATAGAAACAGGTTTGCAATTTGCTGATGAATATGCATGTAGCAAATATATTTTTAATTTAATCTCGATTTGTGTTATGTAATATATATATATATATATATATATATATATATATATATATATATAAGGCGCCTTCTAAGCAATTATTGCATTCTTCAAGAAACTGAAAGTGCATTTCAAACAAGAAGATGCATTGTGATTTATTCATTTCTGACATAGAAAGGAAAATTATATATGTATATATATATATAAATATATATATATATATATATATATATATATTTATATCTTATGTATAAAAATGTAGCGCGATAAAATGATCCGCTAAAAATCGAAAATGGCTAAACCGATTTGGCCAGTCTTAGTCTTGAAAAATTCCGGTGGCTAATACGTCAAATGTCAAACGTTTTTTACAGATGATGTTCAATTACGTTTAATAGTATATTTTACGTGAATATTATTTAATTATGATTAAATTGTAGTAAGTAGTTTTGTTTGTATTTTTATTTATACACAAAAACGTTAGTAAACGTTTTGACGTAAACAAATTGACGGCTTAAAATATATTTTAAAAATATAAAGCGTTGTAAAACAGTTATGAAATTATAGTATGTTATTTCTTAATATGTGTACTGAATTATAAAAATATAAAATCAAATATGTTTCTAACAGAAGAAACTAAAAAATTGCAATGCACACTTGCATACTCTATTTTTATTAGTTGCGAATCGACGGTTAGATATAATATGAGAAGAACTTTTGAAAAATATTTTAAAAATATACAATATTGTACTAGAGCTATGAAATTTTAGTATGTTATTACCTAATATATGTACTCAATTATAAAAATATAAAATCACATATGTTTCTAACAAAAAAGCTATAAATGTGCAATTTTGTAAACAAATGCACTCTTACATATCTAGTTTCCATTAGTTGCAAGTCCATGGTTTGATGAGTATTTTGAAAAATATTTTGAAATATAAAACGTTATACTAGAGTTACAAAATTTTAGTATGTTATTTCTTAGTATTGAGTACATATAACTCAATTATAAAAATATAAAATCACATACGTTTCTTGCAAAAACAGATATAAATTTGCAATTCAGTAAAATCATGTAATAGGGCTGCAAGTGTTACTACAAACTCAACAATATCAACTTTTTTGAAATGTTAATATGGAAAATGCATTTTTTGAGATATTCTTAAAAACGGTGCTCTGAAAGATCTCATTTGTATAATTATATACTCATTGGAATTTATAAAGCATTATTATTTTTTATTTTCTCTACCCATGCAGAAATAATTCTATAATTCTAAATAAAAATTTTCCCAACCAATCATCTTTTACCTCGTCTGGTTCCTTTCCTCATCCCAATAGTTGCTCTTATAAAATCCAACAATCTTCTTTCCATCGCCTCCAAATTTTCCAGTATAATTCAAAGTCAAATCGTAAACTCCTAAATCCAAAAAATCACCGAATTCCACAATCCAATAATCCAGCGACCGATTTTCGAACACTTTCACAATTTCTGGCACTTTCACATCACTAGTGTTGAAGGAATCACTTTGGGCACTTGTGGGGGTAAGATCGACGTTCGATTGTCTTTTGGAAAAGTTCGATTGTCTTTTATCGATTTTGTGGGATGTTATGTTGAGATTTTTGGAGTGTAAGATTAAACGTTTTGTTGGATCTGTCACATTTATCTAGATAAAAAAAAAAAATTTTGGGATTTTTGGGCAAAAATAAGACAAAATTGGTGTTGGCAACTTAGGAGCTGGTTTTTGTAGACGTCTGCAGGGTTTGTCGGTTTTCAAAAACCGGTTTTAAAAATCGTTTTTTTGGCAAAAGTTATGGAATTCTATAACCGGTTTTTCAGTGGAAAAAGTCGGTTTTCACTGTATAAATGGAAAACGACAAATATAACCAAATATAAAAGATAGATGAAAGCGTTTTTATTCTTGAAATCATATCGATTCAATAGCATTTGATATCTTATCAGTCTGCAATAGTTCCCAGAAAGGTTTTGTATATATTAATGTTAATTTTTATATTAATTTAAATTAGTGTGACTTTTTCTTGAAGAAGTAACTTCATCTACTTAAACTTAAAAAAAAGAGTTTTAAACCCTAGAAGCCACAAATTAAAGAACAAATTAATATATCATATATCATATATTAAATCAGGCTTTAAAAACAATTAAGCATAATTTGGTCGGAAGTATGAGAGTATTTTCTATTTTGTGAGTAAACAAAAGACACGTGTAAGTAGCAATTCGATAAAGGTTCTCAATTTTTTTTAAATCATATTTTATTAAACAAAAAATAATTAGAATGTTTAAAATTAATAAATCAAAATTGCTCGGAACAGATATAAAATTTTAGCTTAATTGTTTTTAAAACTAAAATTGATATTAACAATATTTTCATTCTTATATGTGAAAATGATGCACGAATAACGAATAATTATTTTCAAAGTTATTTAATCAAGATAAACTAATATTTTTTAGTTCTACTAATTAAAATTAAAATAATTTTGGTCACTATCTATAATAAAATAATGATGTCTAAAAACCAACTGTTGTTTTTGCAAAATTTTATACCAATTGGTAGACCCTAAGTAGGGTTTATATAAAAACCGACATTTCAGAAAACCGGTTTTCGATCTTTAATTTTATTAAAAATCCGGTTTTAACCGGTTTTCGAATTTTATATAGAAAATAAATTTTTGCTCGAATATTCTGTAATTTATCCGCACATTTAGTGTAATTTAGAATAGTATTTGACTGAATTTATTTATTGTTCAATTTTATAGATAGTAAACAAAATTATTTTAATTTCAATTAGTAGAACTAAATAATGATAGTTTATCTTGATTAAATAACTTTGAAAATAATTATTCGTTATTCATGCATCATTTTTACATATAAGAATGTGTTTTCGAATAAATAAATATAATACATTTTTAAATAAAAAAAAATCATTAAATAAAAAAAAATTTAAAAAAAATATTAGATACATGTTGATACATACTTGGTAAGATCAATTTTAGTTTTAAAAACAATTAAGCTAAACTCGGGTATTGTCTGTTTCGATCAATTTTAATTAATTAATTTTAAACATTCTAATTGTTGTTTGTTTAATAAAACATGATTTCAAAAACTGAGAACGTCTATCGAATTGCTACTTAGACGTGTCCTTTGTTTACTCACAATTTTTTCTGAAATAGAAAATACTCTCATACTAGCGACCAAATTATGCTTAATTGTTTTTAAAGCCTAATATAATCATTCTAAGTTTTTTGTTCTTTAGTTTGTGACTTCTATGGTTTAAAACTCTTTTTTTTAAGTTTGAGTAGAGATAGTTACTTCTTCAAGAAAAAGTCACACTGATTTAAATTAATATATACACTGGTATAAAATTCTAAATTAATATACAAAATCTTTCTGGGGACCATTGCAGACTGATAAGCTATCAAATGCTATTGAAACGACATGATTTCAAGAATAAAAATGCTTTCATTTATCTTTTATATTTGGCTATATTTATCATATTCCATTTATACAGTGAAAACCAACTTTTGAAAACCAACTTTTTTCACTAAAAAACCGGTTTTCGAAGTTCACAATTTTCGTCAAAAAACCGGTTTTTAAAACTGGTTTTTAAAAACCGACAAACCCTAATCCTAAATTGCCAAAACCAAATGCATCAAAAAACCCACCGTCAAAACCAAGAAACCCTCAAAATCCTCATCACCACCATCAGGTCTATTCATCAAATGCGGCCTCAGCAATAAATCATAATGCACAGGCACCACACCAGTAGGCAATCTAAAAGTCAGCTCATCCTGGACAACAAAATCATCTATTACCCCATCATCAACTTTTGGAACCAGATTAATAAAAGTCTGGTTATATTTCCTAGATATCTTCGTCTGGTTAACATTATCCTTAGTAAAATTATTCAAAGTCTGCCTATTAATGGCTCTCATGATGGCTATCCTCTCAAGTTTTTCTGCTAAGACATCTCCTACAAGGACTAAGGATGCTATGAGGCATCCACAAAGGATCAGGAGAAATATGCAGGATCCTACCAGAGTCAGCACCAGGACACTTTTTGGTTTTCTTCTGGTCCTGGTGCGATCTGAGGATGTCGATGATGATACTCGGTGGTCTTCCATGGTGATGAATTTAGATGGTTTGTAGAAAAAGCACTTCACATTTTTTTAATTTTTATTTTTTGGTCTAAATAATTTTCTGGGGAAAAATATGGTTAAGTGAGGTTGAGGGTTCTGTACCAACAGGTTTGTTTTTTATTATATCTATTTATTTATTATATCTCTTGTAATAAAATATTTAACAAATTTGTGCAAAATTAAATTGTTTATAATATTATCTAATATTATAATGCCCTGAAGAATAATTATTTATAAATTTGGGTCATTTTTCCATGCAATTTTCTGCAGACACAAATTTGTAAAACAAGCAAAAATTTATTGACACAGATTGTTGCTAAATTATTCTAAAAAGGCAAACACTTTAGTTATGTATTTAAAAATAGATTTCATACATTTGAATATGCAACAAAAATAAATGTCGATTTAAAAGTGTGTAAAAATAGTATACAAAAGTGTGTAAAACTGTGTATAAGTATGTAAAACTGTGTATAAGTGTGTAAAACTGTGTATAAGCGTGTAAAAAGTGTAATAAAGTGTGTAAAATATGTGAAAAAAATGTGGTAAAGTGTGCTAAAGTATAAAATTATAAGCGTACTAAAGTGTTTAAAATTGTACTAAAAGGTAAAAAAGTGTGTAAAAGTGTGCAAGTCTTTTAAAAACTGTACAGAAGTGTGTAAAAAAAAGTATACAAAAGTGTGTAAAAGAAGTATACAAAAGTCTCTAAAAAATGTACAAGAGTTATTCTAAAAGAATGCCAAACATTTTAGTTATGTATTTAAAAATAGATTTCATACATTTGAATATGCAAAAAAAAAAAATTTCAATTTAAAAGTGTGTAAAAAAAATTGTATAAAAAGGTAAAAAAAGAGTACAAAAGTGTGTAAAAGTGTGTAAGTGTCTGAAAAAGTGTACAGAAGTGTGTAAAAAATATGCAAACAGTGTGTAAAAAATGTATGAAAATGTGTGAAAAGTGTAGTAAAGTGTGTAAAAATACGTAAAAGTGTGAAAAAAATATGGTCAAGTGTGTAAAATATGTCAAAAAAAAGTGGTAAAGTGTGCTAAAGTGTAAAATTATAAGCGTACTAAAGTGTTTAAAATTCTACAAAAAGGTAAAAAAGTGTACAAAAGTGTGTAAAACTGTGTAAGTGTGTAAAAAGTGTACAAAAGTGTGTAAAAAGTGTACTAAAGTGTGTAAAAAAGTGTACAGAAGTGTGTTAAAAAAGTATGCAAAAGTGTGTAAAACTGTGTAAAAGTGTGCAAAAATGTGTTAAAATGTACGTAAAAACGTGTTAAAGCGTGCTAAAATGGGTAAAATCGCGTTAAAGCATGTAAAATCGTGCTAAAGCGTGTAAAATCCTGATAAAACGTGTAAAATCGTTTGAATATATGTAATATGTGCTAAAGTCTGTAGAATGTTAATGTGTTATAAAGTATATAAAAATGTATAAATGTGAGTAAAAGTATATAAAACTGTATCATAGTATATAAAACTGTATCATACTGTATAAAACTGTATCAAAGTGTACAAAACTGTATCAAGGTGTGTAAAATTGTATCAAAGTGTATTAAATTGTATAATATATAATGTGCGTACTATAATATATATAATATACATACTATAATACAAAAGCGTGTTAAAATGTGAGTAAAAAGCGTGCTAAAATGTGTAAAATTCGTGTTAAAGCATGCAAAATCCTGCTAAAACGATTGAAATTGTTTGAATATATGTAAAATCGTTTTAAAAAAAATATCCTATAGAAAAATTATTTATAAATTTGGGTCATTTTTGCATGCAATTTTCTGCAGACACAAATTTGCAAAACAAACAAATATTTATTGATACAGATTGTCGCTTAATTATTCTTAAAAAAAATGACAAACACTTTAGTTATGTATTTAAAAATAGATTTCATACATTTGAATATGCAAAAAAATAAATTTCATGCACAAATCGTGAATTGTCAAGTGGAACGCAAATTATTAGAAAAAATATATGCGTGTAATTTTTAAAGAGAGATTACGTAATTGTAAAATGGGACATTTTTTGGTTTTGTGAAGGTAACTTTTGTATGGATTGTGATAGAAGGTTGTTTTTGTCTAAAGGTGGTAAAAACTGGATTAAATTTACTACAAAATGGTATACAAAATGTTTTTGTTACATGTTTTGCGAAAATAATGCAGATGTTCAAACCTGCAACATTTTCTATACAAGTTTATTGAATATTCAGGCATTTTTTACAAATTTGTGATAATAAATTTATTTAAAGATCAAGATAAAAAATTTTTGTCTAAAGATGATTCCCACTAGACTAAATTTGCTGCAAAATAGTATACAACAATTTTGAATTAAATTTTTTGTAAAAATTCTACATCTTTCATGGTTTCTAAGATTCTTACTAAAAAATTTGTTACTTTCTACAGTGTTATGAGTACAACTTTTTTAAAAATCAGGTTAGAATGTTTTTGTTCAAAGATGGCATAAACTAAATTAAATTTGCTAAAAATTCTCATCTACCAAATTCTAATTTATCATCTTGCGAAAATTCTACAGGACTATAATATAAGTACCAAAGTATATATGTAAAAAGTTATCCAATATTCAGGCCTTCATATATATTTCCAATAATGTCTAATAAATTTGTATTTAGCACCATTTTTTAGCAAATTTTATATAGTTTAAATCATCTTTAAATAAAATTTTGCTATCTGTGTCCAGAAAATAGTTACATGTACTAAAGCCGAAAAAAAACATCACACCAAATTGTTGGGGAATAAATCGACTCGCGAAGTATAAATATTATTATTATAAGAGGATGTTAACACTTCGTAATTTTAAATAAAACAAAGTCTTAATTATACAAATTGTAAAAGATTTTAAAATTCTATTCAGTCTCAAATATATATACACACTGAAATAAATTTTTTTTTTTATAATTGTGTCAATAATTATTTGTTTGATTTGCAAATTGTCTGCAAAATAAACTAACGATGCATAAAATCGACCCAAATAATTATTCTATCGATAAATAAATTATCGATCGGAAATTACGTAAAAGTTCTGACAAAGCAAAAAAAAATTAGAAATTTTTATTTCCGTCGTTCCGAAATATTGGAAAGTTTTGCCTAAGTACAGGTTTTCACTAGAAATAATAATATACAAACGATAATATGTAATTAGTTGTATAACAATTTGGCTGAAAAAATAATTTAGTACCGAGAATACCAATTATCCTATATTAAATCCTGAAAAGTTATGTCATCAAAATTATAACGATTATGGTACAGAACCCTCAGTGCACGACTTGATTTTAACACAAAACTTCACAAAAACAAATATTTTACACACTTATTATATTAAAAACAATTAAAACCATCCACAAATCACTTTTTCCTTTTATTCACTTCAAGGTCTATTATTTCCTCAACAAATAATGTTTTGCCCAATTTTTTTTCGTCACATTTTAAAATAAAGCTTACAAAATTAAACTGTAATTTTAAAATATAAAAATTATATTTAAAACTATTTTAAAATTAATAAATTAACTAAAAAGAACGCGTCCGTTCGATTAAAAATCCAACGTGAGACTGACGCGAACTTCCAATAAGAAAACAACTTTGCTGGGAACGAGTTAGACTGACAGCTGGGGTAAAAAATACTAAAGAAAAATTAAGGACGTGAATATTAATAATTGAACATAGTAATTTTTATGAAAAAATTCCAAATTTGTGAATTAAAACAAATAAATGAAATACACAAAGCCAGTACTTAAGATTTGAATTTTATGATTAAATCGTATAGAAAACGCTTGTGTTTTTAAAAGTGTGTAAACTGTTTTAATATTTTTTGAAACAATTATTTTTGTTAATCAAAACTAATAATAACGTAATAGTCTTACAAAATTGAAGTTTTTTAATTGTGAGTAAAAGTGTTTGTATGGAAACCTGCAAAAATATGTTAAAAAGTGTGTTAGTGTGTAAGTGTGTAAAAAAGTGTACAGAAGTGTGTAAAAAAATGTATACAAAAGGGTGTAAAAAAATTGTACAAAAGTGTGTAAAAATAAGAGGTGAAGAAGTGTACAAAACGGTGTAAAACTGTAAAAGTATGTAAAAAGTGTAGTAAAGTGTGTAAAAATAAGAGGTGAATAAGTGTGGAAAAAGTGTAGTAAAGTGTGTAAAAATGCGTAAAAGTGTGGTAAAATGTGGAAAAATGTGTAAAATATGTAAAAAAAATTTAAAATGTGTTAAAGTGTAAAATTATACCTTTAAGCGTACTAAAGTGTGTAAAAAAGTGTACAAAAGTGTGTAAAAAAAATGTACAAACTGTGTAAAACTGTGTAAAAAGGCATAAAGTGTGAAAAAGTGTGAAAAATGTGTGGTAATGTGTGTAAAATGTGTGAAAAAAATGCGGTAAAGTGTGATAAAGGGTAAAATCATACATTTAAGCTTACTAAAGAGTGTAAAAAAACTGTACAGATGTGTGTAAAAAAATTATAAAAAAAATTTGTGTAAACTGTTTTAATATTTTTTGGAACAATTATTTTTGTTAATCAAAACTGTAATAGTCTTACAAAATTGAAGTTTTTAATTGTGAATAAAAGTGTTTGTATGAAAACCTGCAAAAATGTGTTAAAAAGTGTGTAAGTGTGTAAGTGTGTAAAAAAGTGTACAGAAGTGTATGAAAATGTATCAAGGTGTATTAAATTGTATCAAAGTGTAAAAGAGTATAAACGAGTGCAAAAGCGTGTTAAAGTATGAGGAAAAGCATGTTAAAGTATGAGGAAAAGCATGTTAAAGTATGAGTAAAAGTTTGTTATAATGTGCAAAAGCGTGTTAAAATGGGAGTAAAAACGTTTTAAAGCGCGTTAAAAATGTTATGAAAGCGTGTTAAAATGAGTAAATTCGTGCTAAAGCGTGTTAAAGTTAGCTAAAATGAGTAAAATTCGTGTTAAAGCGTGTAAAATCGTGCTAAAGCGTATAAATTCTAACTAAAGCGTGTAAAATCC